TAATTTGTTGTTTTGTAAGTTAAGGGTCTGTTTTTTGGACAATCCCAGTTTCTACTCTTTTCATTGGGGTCTCTTGGTACACCCTTGGTCTAACTGAGGACAGGCAAAGCTTAAACCAGAATAATTGTCAAAATTAGTTGAGGAAAGTCTCCCAAGTCTCCCGATGCAATGGGAAAAGCCTGTTCTGCTTGATATGCCAGTTATGTCTCAGGATATACTCTCTCAGGATGTGTCTGCTGATCAAAGCAAATTGTTCCCATTATATCTTTACTGATCTCACCAGGGCCTGGCCTGGGGACATGGGTTGCCATCTTCAAAGTCTATGTGGTCTGTTATTCCAGAAGTGTTTACCAGCACTTCTCTCTTTGGTTTGTGACTGGTAAACACTGGTATGACCAATCCATTTTTGAATCATACTAATATGAGCAGGGTGGGTAGGATCTACCTGAATGACCTCATAGAGTTGTTGCAAGGATTAAATGAGATCATGAATATAAAACTCGAGCACAGAGCCTGGAACATAGTCTGTAATTACGTTAAAACTTAGCTTCAATATCGCCTCTTCCGTGAAACCTCCCTGACAATTCCCAAGACCTCAGATATAAAAAGTCATTGGAGCTACTCAAAACTTTTCACCTTACAAAGACTTTTCATCTTGTTTGATTTTTATGACTGTCCTGGGCGATAATACAGGTCTTATCATTATTCTCATCTAACAGATGATAAAACCAAAGTCCAATAGTATTAGTGACTCTACCAAAGCCACACAGGACACATGAATCCAAGTCTTCTGACTACTATACTAGTCTACTGTTTTGTCCACTACAGCATTTTGGTAAAGAAGCTGACTTGTAGTTCTTAATATACATTGGGGATATAGGAGGAGGTGGTAAAAAGTGAGAGAGCAGTACATGGCTTAGGAGAAAAGCTTGTATTAACAGTTGATGAACATCATTTGACAGTTGTGAGGCCCTGGGCAAGGTACAGAACCTCTTGGTTCATTTATTGTCTCATCTGTAACATAGAAATATTATTATTATCATTATTATTATGATTACCATCAATTTCCTTGGGTTGTAATAAGGGGTAAGTTAGTAAACATATATAAAATGCTTAGAACAGGTCTTGTCATAGAGTGGCATTCAAGATATCTTATCTTTTTTAAAAAGTTGAAGAAAAGTGCAATGCATAGAATGGAATCACTCTTTATGTATGTTTACCAAATTGAACATCAAGAGCTTGTAACTGGGTTTTTCTTAATCACCGAAAGACTGTAGTTGCATGTGAAATAAATTGTCAGTGAGGTTTGTGTAGCTTTGTCTAGCATGTGGCCAATGGCTGGACATAGCATCTTTTGGTCTCTCAATATCCTCATGAAAATAGGCTGGTACATCTAAGGACTTTATCAGGAGAAATAAGAGGACAGATTAGAGAACTATTATGGCATGTACTTTGTACTTATTTCAAAAAAGAACAGTAAAAGCTAAAATGTCAAAAAAGAAGCTAAGAAGTTGCGCTGGGTAGATAGCCCAATGGCAAACCATCTACCTTCCCTCCACCAGCAATAAGAGAAAGCATTTTTAAAAATGAAATGATTTTAGGAGATATAGTGATTTGTTTTGACCTGGTTTACTAAAAATTATTTATGCAAGTTGGTTATATAGCCATGGTATCAGCTAGGTTTCCATGGTTACAAAAAATAATTACTCTTTCACAGTCTTTGCTACAGAGAATTGTTTGATTATAATCTTAAAGTTGTTTTGTAGTTCAAGGAATTTTATTTCAACCTAAAGAATAAATCTTAACTTTTTTTTCTGAAATTGTTCATGTTTTAAAAGGACAGGAAGAGAGTTAGATTATGGAAATATGCTGATAACTGTTTGTGAGATGTGTTTTGCTTTTATGCTTTTATGCGTCCATCCTCAGTTAACAAGATGGCAGTTCATTCTGCAGGCCCCACATGCTGACCCAAGCATCTATTGATGTATTCCTGGTCACCCCTTGTCCATTGCCTCTGACTATTACTTCCCTCAAGCCTCTCTACAGCCCTGACTTCTCTTCTCTCAGCAGATGACTAGGGACATAGAAAATAGAGTCCCTCATCTTATTTAAATAGATAAAAGAAAAACCACAAAAATCTCAATAGGAAAATTGCAAAAGATAGAAAGAAAAAGAAGACATATAAATGATAAATAAATAAATGAAGTGGTTAGAAGGTTCGATCTCATTGGTTATTAACAAAATGTAGGTTGTTGTTGTTTTGTCTGTTTTGTTGGCTTCTTTTTTGTTTATTTGTCCTTCCCAGAACAGAAGTTCCATGAGCTCAGGAACCATTGACCATTGACATCTCATTGGTCATTGATTTTACAATGCGTACAATTGTGCTTAGGAGGACTTCATAAATATCTGTTTAATAATAGAATGAATGAGAACAAAAAATTGCAGTATTTATGCTGACAGAGTTGTTGAGAGGTTGTTTGAAGTACTAGGTCACAAAATACAATTTTTCCTAAATATTTTAAGAAAGTTTTATAAGTAATTGGAGACTGCTAGGATAAAGAAATATGAGAAAACCCTCCTTCCAAGAATGTTTAAGAAATAATTTTCTAGATACTTGTCGCTGATATATCTATATTTACATCTAAATCTATACCTATTTATATCGATACCCACACCTATATCTGTATCTCTTATCTATATATACAAGATACGTATGACATACATGAGAAGTGTAACTGTGCAGTACCAGAAGAGTATGGTATGCAGTATAAGGAAATAAGTTTAATTTCTTTAAGTTAAATATTAACATAGAAAAGATCAAAGTTGTAATAAGCAAAATCTTAAAGCGTTAGAATAGTGTACATGTTTGAATAAAGTCAGACTGAATACATTAACAAAAGCGTATCAATCAGAAAATGGTGCAGAATAGAGCATAAGGAATGGGCAGCAATGGAACTTAGAAAAATGAAAGTCGCAGAGGCAAACTCCATTTTTCGTATGATCCATAGGAAAGGGAGGTGCAGGCAATCTACGCCAAGTGTTAAGATCCTTTTGGAAGGCCTATACTTGCACTTTGTGGAGGCATGGCCAGGGGCATGCTGGGTAGAAAGCAGTTTGGCTAAATGCAATTACAGGTTTCATCTCTTTTCTCTTCAGCAGTTCATGACCATTCACCATTGTGATAGCAGATGGGTACTACAGGAGCACCCAGGATGGGCTTCTCAGTTGCAATGTGAGGTGAAGGCAGCATAGGTGAAATGATGTGGTCATTATCATCCCTGCTTCTCTGACAAGTTAGAATTCATAGTGGTCACAGTTTCAAGTGTTTTCTCCATTGACTGATTGATATTTATCAGAGAATATTATGTTGTAATTGTCAGTATCTGGAAGAGGACTTTCTTGTCTGTTTTTGGAGGCACTGAAAATCATATCTAGAGAGCCTATTTGTCAAGGCTTTATAAGGGTATTGTCATTTGCTCTCCTCCCACACCATCAGCAACTGTCTTTTTCTTTACCATGTACACAATGATGGGAGAGTTGAGTCCTACTTTATAACTTAGAAAGCTGTGTGTGTGTTTTGAATACCTCCTGGCTACTGAGAAGAAGCTGTGTAATAAGTGCCAACCAAGAGAGAGCGGAGGGACTGGTCAGACCCTTGTTCTATTGATCCCATAGCTTCCTAGTTACACAGAAATTGCTCTTTTTGCTCCTATTTCTTCTCTTCCTCTTGGTTGCTCTCTATTCTTATCTCTTCTCTATTCTTTATTCCCTTTCACTCTGATTTTGCCTTCACCATCATTTGTGACTCTGCATCATCGTCGTTCATATTGATTAAAGTGGTCATTTTGCCAGCAATTAATATTTACTTGCGGGATTTGTATTAGTAATTAGTAAAGGCGAAGCCAATATAATGTTCCAGTTCAGGATTTTGGAGTTATGATTAAATTTTGGCTTCACCCTTAAGAGTTGCCTGCCTTGAGCAAATCACTCAATTTCCCCTTGTCTATCTTTCACCACCTGTAAATGGGGATGGGGTTCCTACCTCAAAGAGTTGTTAGGATGGGAGAGAATGCATGTACCATACTCAGAGAATGCTTGGCACATGGTCTCAAGAACTATTAGCTCTTATTTGAAAAATGTCTATTGTAGGGTATTGTCGATACCATATATCGGAAATTTCATGCGGTTTTCCTTTATTGAAGAATCAATCCATAGGGTAGGACTACTGGGGCCAAAAATAAGAGCACCTAAAGGCTTCCTGGGTGCCTGCATTATAGAGATCTTTTTCTGAGTAGGTAGTGATCTTGTGACAAGCTGGGCACGGAAAGCTTGAACAAGGACAAGCAATCTTTAGTAAAGACTTTCCTAAGGTGGTAATCAGGTTATTGTTGACAGTGTGAGGTGAACCAGGCCAAAACAGGGTAAGGAGGGAGAAAGGAGGAAGAAGGGGGCGGAAGCGGGAGCCTTGGGGCGCGTCTGGCAGGCTTTGGAAACACAACGTTTGGGTGCAGGAAGCCGGGGAAGAACGCTGCGAGCCCCGGGGACGAGGAGGATGCGCGGGCCCCAAGCGCGTTAGTTACTGTTTGCTTTTCCTTAGGGAAGGCGCCGATTCCAGGTCGTTTGCAGAGCTTGGGCTCACGGCTGAGCGAGAGCACAGGGGCGCGCACGACACTGTCGGGGGCTTCAACGTCCACCCGGGCAAAGCCCTGGGAGGAACTCTCGCCAGCGACGAGCCAGGCGGGCAGGGAAGGGCAGGGCGAAGGCTCCCTGCCCGCGGGTCCCGTCCCGCCGCCTTCTCCTCCGCCTCCGTGCCGCGCGCTCCCGGGTGCAGGCGGCGGCGGCGGCCAGCGCGCCCGGCGGGAGGCACCTCGGGATATTTCCGTCGGATCTGTCCCTCCTCCCCCCGCGCTGACTCCACACGCCTCCCCGCCCCCTGCTCGGAGCCCTGGTCAGGCGCGAAGGGAGGGAGTGGGGCCGAGACTGCATCATTCCGCACCGGCTGCAGCGCGGCCAGAGGGAGCAGGTGGAGCGAGCGAGCGAGACGCGAGCCGGAGCGCGCGGGGCCCCGGGAGACTGCAGTGACGCTGCCCGGGAGACATGGCGGCCGGGCGCCTCTGAAGAAGCAGAATCCCGAGCCCCTCGCCGCCGCCGGCCGCTGCAGCCCGGGCCATGCCGCACGGCTGCTGACCGCACGCAGGGGCCAGCCCAGAAGACACACTGCCGCCGCGCCCCGGTCCTCTCTCCTTGCATTCTCCATGTTGCATTTCATGTCAGTTTCTCAGGCAGTGTAGCTGCTGCCACCGGAGGAGCATCGCTCTGCTCGTTCACTCAGCCACATTTTTCTTTCCCATTTTTACCCTCCCCTCCCCATTTTCTTTTCCTTTGCCCCGCCTGTTCACATTCATCTCCCCCATCCCGTGACCCTCTCCTGCCTCCATCCACCGGGGCTATGGCCGCAGAAGAGGTATTGCAGACTGTGGACCATTATAAGACTGAGATAGAAAGGCTGACTAAGGAGCTCACAGAGACGACCCACGAGAAGATCCAGGCTGCCGAGTACGGGCTGGTGGTCCTGGAAGAGAAGTTGACCCTCAAACAGCAGTACGACGAGCTTGAGGCTGAGTACGACAGCCTCAAACAGGAGCTGGAGCAGCTGAAAGAGGTGAGTTGTTTGTTACCTCTTCTCTCCTCAGCCCCCTTCTCCCCCACCCCCACGCCTACTCATCATTTATAAGGCAGTCGGAAAGGATGCTATTGAAAGGATTTTCTTCATCTTAGAGCCCTCTGTTGATAAGAGAAGATTGAAAGAGTCCATTGTTTTCCCCACAAGAGAAAAATTGCCCAGGAAATGAATGTATAAACTGGAATTTGGAATGCAATGGCTGTGGGGGAGGAGATTCATAAAAGTCTTGAAGTCTCAGCACTCTAAGGCGATTTTCAACTGGGTTGGAATGTGTAAATCAAACTTCTCAAAACTGCTGTTATTGCAAACCCAGGTTTCAGCAACAATCCCATAATCCACAAAGGCGATGAGTAGGTTTGTGCCAAGGATCCACAATTTCGGGATGTAGAATCTGTGGTGCTTCAGCCTTTTGCTGAATGTAACCACTCTTTGATGAGAAAGGGAGCTGTTAGAAGTCCCGCCAATCCCATTTGACAAAGGCTGGGCAATCTATATCCTCCTTGGCTTTAGTCATTCTTGTCATTGGGCTGCGGGAGAAAAACAACTCTGCTGGTTGATCCCGCCGCCTTGATTTCACCTGAGTGAGGCAGGCTGGGCCATGCACAAGTCTTATAAGGTCATCCGACCAAGGAAAATTAAACTTCTCTACAAATGGTGTGCAGAATGGTAAAGATTAACTACTTGGGTAGCCGTGCATTTCAAATGAGGCTCTTCTGTTTGAAATGACTGTATTTATAAAACTAAATATCACAAATGGACACTTGTTCTCCTTGGTCTTTTGGCATCTGGCTTCTTTTAAAGCCTGGCTAATGTATTGGAAGATAATAATGAATATGCTTTGATTTCCTATCAAACACTCATAAGAAAATACATATTGTTGAAGGAACTCAGTTCCTTTTATCTGATTCCTGAGGCACTGTGGGTAGCAAGTAACCAGTTATAAATGTAAACGTACACATTGCTTTTCTACATAACAACTCTTTATTTTTAGGTGCATACTGGCATTTTAAATTCTATTCTGGTATACAAGATTATAAAAAATATTTTTCTTATAATATACTCAGTTTTATTTTGGGGGAGTCATCTCGTTTTGTTACTGTTTAAAAACATGATTTGTGGTATAATTAATCAACTTGCTTTCTAATTTAGTACATAAAATGGTAAGCGTTTACACTTTCAGGTATGTCTTGTTTTTATTTTGATGTCTAAATGCTGAAAAATAAATATATGGTAACAATTCTACCTAGAACTCTGAATTTTGTGTTTCGGGCTGTAAATTTCTAGTTCATGTTTTTCTTACCGTGTACATGTTTGTTCTTAACAACAGCTGGACTTATTGGTATTTTTCAACTTAGATTAGGTCCTAGGCTGATACGTTTAAGTTCAGTGATGCTAAACCTTGTGAAGTCAGGAGACTGCTGATTGTAATTCTCAGAGATGTTTTGATGTTGTCGACACCTGTCAAAACTGCTTTCCCAAGACAAGGAAGTGCAAACCAGGCAATGTTAAGCCATCACCTCCTTGATAAAATAGGTAGACTTAATTTAATGAAATTTAGTGAAATGGAATATAACTTTTAACTGACCTTCTTGCTCAAGTTAAATAACCCTTCTAGGGTTTTTTTCTGTGTCATTGCACTTACCCTGCATAGTAAACCTTAATGCAATTGTCTTTTGCCTTCACTAGGCCATGAGCTCTTAGACAAGGAATCTGCCTTAACTTACTTTGCATCCAAAATCTTCAACACAAAGCCTAGCATAGTGAGTGTATAATCAATATTTTATGAAAGGATAAATTTATACTGGAAGAAGATACCTTTATCAAACATTCACTAGTCAGTATTGGTTAGTGTCAGAGAAAGACTTAAGAAAATTAGGACGTGACTAAGATGAAAAAAAGACTTGAATTATTTTCTACGGCAATAATGGAGTAAATGAGAAAACAGTGTTTTATAAGAATAGTATAACACTAGTTTCTTAATGCAGAATAATGCAAATACCAATTATAATTTTTTTCTATAAAAATCTGAAGGCATATTTTGTATAGCAAGAGGTTAATAAGAGTTTATCAGGATGATTTTTACTAAATGATACTTGTTGACATGTGTTTTGAGTTTCATTTAGCATAAATATAATTCAGCTTTAGGTTCCTAATGACTGATTTTTACAATTATATAAAAATACATTTTAAAGTAATAAAATAATCATTAACTTGATTATTTGATAGTGAGACCTGTTATTTTTATCCTTTAACTATCACGTGTACTTTAGTTGGGAGTATTATTTAAATGAACTAAATTAGTCTCAATAATACTTCCTGTTTAAAAAGTAAATCCAAAATAATTGTGCAAAGTTAGATATTCCAATGATGATATCACATAGAAGTCATTTTTGAAAAACATGCTTTGTGAGTCCTTTAATTTTAATTTTTCAAAAGGAAGTTTTGTTCATTTTTCAAAAGAAAGTTATAGTAAATGATGTATTATATCTGTAAAGCCAACTATAAAATAAATCTTTGGCTTATTTCTAGGCCCTTTCAGCAAATATGATTCATTTAAAGATGATTAGATCGGTTTACAGGAATGTCAACAGAAAAATACTGTACTAGGTCCAGGTTGAACATTAGTAATTCTCAGTGTAGCAACACAGCTCAGTCTTTGCAGGTCATTTTGTTTTTGAGAATCAGCGCCCAGCAATGTTGCTTCTTTCCTTTCCAGGCTGTACACTGCTATGACAATAATGCAAGTTGCCTGAAGATGTGCAAAATCAAGATGATGAAGTCATTTGTTTTTTTCTAGTCATGTCCTTTTCTCAGTCCAGATTGCTTTTTGGCCTGGCCTGCCCGATATTGTTTAGGGCTCTGCCCTGTGCCTACATGACTGCTGTAATTCTTCTATTCCCAAAAGAACATACTTGAAAGAAAAGTACTTAGGATCTGAAAAGAGGATGACTTCCGATGTCATCATCTTCTCTTTTTCATTATACTTGGGCAGCTGGACAAATCTACATATCCACTAGAATACTTGACCATGATTTTATGATTTCACAAATAATGCTTGCTTTTCAGTGACCTGAGTGGCACCCATACCCAGTTGATTTTGTATTTGGGATGTGTGTGAATCAGCACTGCATCTGTCTCCAGGCCAAAATAGTATTTGAAGGAGTCATGATTCTAAAATAATTTGAAAACTAAAAATATACATGCATTAAAAAAAAAAAACCTCCTGGTATTTAAATTTTTCATTTTTTAAAACTTAAAGAATGGCTGAAATTTTCAATGTAGTAAAGTTGAAAAAGATTCCCTAAGAAAGGTATGATTCAGCAAATCTGGTAGCATTTTAGAAAACATATCCATGCAACAACTTGAGAAAAGTTTTGCAGCTCGGTTATAGTAGACTATAGGTTAAGAATCTTCAACTCATTTTCTCAACTCTGATACCAAGGATGGACCAGCTGCTGGAGAAGCACTCTCTGGGTATTGAACAGCTTCTCTTGGAGAAAATGGTACGCTTTTTCAGAGCTAGAATGAAATCATTCAATAAATAAACATTTAACTTACACACTTTTAGAGATTTTTATGTTAGAGACTTGATGAAAGCCATTTAATTACCAGGCTTCATCTTTAAAGAACTAATTTTCCCCCCTCATATGCTTAGAAATACTATTAGCTTCTTTTAAGCCTATAAATTCTAATCATGAAATCATATAGGGGGAACTCCAGATATCTTTTCCAATCTATGACTAAACATAGAGAAAAAATGAATACTTACATATGCTAGTATTTTTTCTCTTATTGTTTTTAAAGAAGAAATATTTGTTTTTATCACATTTATGAAATTAAAACATGTAAACTATATCAACATATGCATTGAGAAACTGTTTATAAACAACCTCAACAAACGTAGTCGCTTTCAATCACATTTTTTTTTTTTTGACCCAATTGCTTTACCTTGCATCATCTTTCCTTTTGATTTCAACCCAACATTTCATTTCTGGCAAAGTTATTTCTCAGATATCATTTAGCAAGATTTTATAATGTTTCATCACATTTACTATGTTTGCATGACCGTGTACAGCAGCTATGATTTGAAGAATTTTTCAGAATTTCATGCTTATGACTGTTTTGCCCTATTGTCCCCTTAAATACATTTGTACCTTATAGATATTGCACTCCAGATTTGAAAATATGATAATTACCTGCATGTTGAAATATGTAGTAAAGGACTGTTTCACATATAAGATTATACCTATAAATATGGCTTTGAAGGAGAGGAGGGCATGAAGAGATGCATAGTTTTACTATTAAATAATTCAATATGCTGAAGGAGAGGCATGTGAAGTCAAGTGGCAGGAATGAAAGTGGGAAAGTTATAGTAGCCACATTTTGTCTTGGGAATGGGGAACCATTAAAAGGAAATGAAAGGAAACATTTAGTAACTGTGTTTGGTGCCTTAGGTGTTATTTAATTTTCAGAGTAACTTGGGCTTATTGCCTGTTTTTACAAATAAGAAAATAATAAAAATAATAAAACATTGAACTATGTACAAAGCTCCATTTAGGAATAGGCGCTTTGCTTGCCTTATCTCTAATTCTTATAATGTCCTTTTACAAGGTAGATATTACTCGAATTATATGAGAAGAGGCAGGTACATGGGTCTTAGAGAGGTTAAGGATTCTTCTTAGGGCTGCAAAACTAAGTAAGTGGTGAAACCTGGTTTGGGAAGAAGCTCACTTTGTTATCACCTCACTATCCTACCTGAGAGGGTAAAACATCTGTCACAAGTACAGTTTGGAAGTTCATGATTTAGTCACAGGATTGATTGGAGCTGTTCAGGGGCAGTAAGGGATAGTGAGGAGGAGGCAAACCTAGGAGCTTCTTAGGATGTATATGGTGCAACTTGGTGATGGATGTAACTGAATGTGGAAAGTGAGGAAAAGAACTGAGCTGAGAATCTCAGGATGGATAGAAGGTGGTTCCAT